CCTCGACTTCGTCTCGGTTTTTATTCACCGATAATCACCTCGCCTTCGGCGAATAATTGTTAAATATAACAAAATTTGATTTTTCAGTATTCAAGGTAAGTTTGTTGGCTCTTAACCACAGATATACATTATGTAACTCATCATTAACGACTTGCTCAAGGGTATGGATATTTCTATGCGAATATAAAATACTTGTATCATCAGCAAATTGATAAAAATTTAGCTTTTCTGTCGAAACACAAATATCATTAATGTACAACAGAAATAATAAAGGCCCAAGAACAGAACTTCTTTACGGGAATTTACTTTTTTTTGCCTAGATCAAAAATTAGTCTAACATGCAAGTTGTCTATTAGGCCATGATGTATTTCGGCTGGTCATGTTTGACATGCTCGTCTGTGCTGAAATGCATTTAGAAGTGTGTTTATATCTATCAGTTCTAACGGAGCCATTTACGATGTTAGATCCACTGATATGTTGGACACCCTTGGTTGGGAAACACTTAATTTAAGAAAATCGCGAAATAAATCAATATTAATGGATAAAATACTGAATGACCACACTGCCCCAAATCTAAAAGATTTGTTCCGCAAAAAAAAAACGTATGTCAGAAATAGCGAAACAGATTTAGCCCTTCCAAAACCTAAACTGAATTTCTAAAGTTGAGATCCTTTGGGTACAGTGGTGCCATTTTGTGAAATTTGACTACCCAGTGTTCTCAAAAATTACAAAATTGCCAACTTATATAAGCGCAGACCTCTTTAATTAACATTACTCCATAAAGTTAACGTTTTACCCCAATTCCGCATTTTATCCCCATTCCGTATCCGCATTCCAGTTTCCGCAATTCTGGATCCGCGTTTTACCCGAACCAATCATGAGGTTTATTTGGGGTCCTATTAGTATGTGTCCTCTGAAATTTTCGGTTTTCCAATTCGTAAAACCAATGGACCTAGCTAATATTACCTAATGAACAAAATTTTGATCTAGTATAGACAAGTCTAGACAATCACGTCTTGAAAGAGCATTGCGAAATGTTGTAAAATTATGCCAACGAAACGTCGGAATATTACTAATTTTGTGATGCTCTTTCAAGCCGTGATGAAATTTTTGTCTAGTCTAGTCTTGTCTAGATCAGGTAATAGGTCCATATCTCATAATAGTGTACTTACAGTTCTTCCTTTCAATTACTGATATTTATATATTTTTATCTTAGTTCATGATGTGACATCTCAATCGGTCATTTATGTATCCAGAGCGAAGGGTAATGATAGCACATCATGTGGATTCCAGTACTTTCCGTGTTATTCTATATCACGGGCTGTTTCTCAAGTACAGTTTGGATCATCTATTTTTCTTGATTCCACCAACACCACAATGTCTCCATATGATTGCCTACCTCTGACGTCACATTACAAGGGAATATACGTCATCACGACTTTGTCTTTTGTTGGTGGACCATCACTCGCTCATGTTTCATGTAGAAAAGGACTGAATTGGATAGTTAACGGTACTGATAGTGCAATCGCAATAGAAGTAAACTTTACTGGAATTGCTTTCCAAAATTCCCGGCTTCATTTTATCGAGACGTCTGCTACTGTAACCCACTGTGTATTTTCCAATACAGAAAATCTTGTTGTGAACTTTACTGTCTTACATCGAAATCAAACAAGTTTGTCGTTTCAAAATGTTCTTTTTGAGAGCAGTGTGGCTTGCATATCAATGACTAGCAGTTCTGTAAATACTGAAAATATGCTGTTTATCAGCATCCACATAAGGAACTCTGTTTTCAACAACAACGGCCTGAGGCGTTTTCCATTTTTGCCACCATCCTGGACCATTCTTGGTGTAGATACTTCAGGAACTCGCTTTGTTGACATACAGGTAAAGAACTCAAGTTTCCAAGGCAATTATGTTCGTTCTTCAGGTATGATTTCCGTGAACAATCAACTTGGTCATACCAAGTTTCTTATCCAAGATGTTGCCTTTATAGAAAACGGCTTACATGACACTGGAGCAAGAAACAGCTTGTTTGTGTTAAATAGCTCCATCATATCTTTAGTTATTTCACAGTCACAAGTGAAGAAAAGCAAACAGCGGCTTTTATCCATTTATTCTACGTGGACAGAGATCAATGTTTCTCATACGACTGTGGATGACTTTATCAACTCTTGGCCACGCCCACATGGCGGGACATTTTACGTAGAAAGTAATATAATGAAGTTGTTGACCAAAGATTGTTTGTTCAGTAATGGTCTCTTCCAATCCTGGTTCTTCCAATCCTGGTCATGGCGGGCTTCTTTTTGTTTCTGCGCGTAATACAAGCATTCTTATTGAAAATTCCATTTTAACCAATTTAACAACAGCGGGTTATGGTGGTGTCATATATGCAACGGCCAGGCAAAATGTTGCAGCTTCAATGAAGTTAACTACAAAAAATTCAAGTTTTATCTCAAATGAAGCAACGCAAGGTCAAGGAGGAGTTATATATTTACATAAAAAAGCCACATCACCATTCTTTGTTCAAGTGTTTATCCAGAACTCGTTGTTCGAGGGAAACACTGCTTCTACAGGAGGATGCGTAAGTGTACAAGGTGTCGAATTTGTGTTGACTGGAAAGAATTTAACGTTCACTGGGAATAGTGCAGGAGGACCAGGAGGGGTCATGAACTTAATCGGAGCAGGTGTAATGCGCGTAAGCATTTCACATGTCTTATTCAAGGAAAATGCCGCTATGGCAGGACCAGGAGGTGTGTTTTATGTGACAGCACCACAGAGTTCTAATGACAATAGTTCATTATTTAATTTAACAGCGAGTCACGTACAGTTTGTTGGAAACAGTGCGGGTGTGCTAGGTGGAGTTTTATACTTAGAACTTGGTTTTAGATCGATGTTAGTTTTTAACGACGTTGTTTTTCTAAAGAATACTGCAGAGGCTGCCGGCCCAGGCGGTGCAATTTATGCGACAGGAGATGGGAATATGTATCCTTCCTTTCAAATCTTAATAAAGCGAGGAAGGTTTGAAAACAATACTGCTCTCGTGGGTGGAGCCATTTATGTGCAAAGGACGAGTAATGCGGAGTTCACGAGTGAAGATTCGATCTTTCGCTCCAATGTTGCTTACCTTCCAGGCGGAGCGTTGTATTTGCAAATGTTGAACTCTACGATAACTCTAGTCAATACAACATTCTCTAACAATACAAGTGTTAGACAAGCAGGTGGTGCAGTCTATCTGGATATTAGTGATGAAAGCAAGGTTCATATCGCTCTTGCCAAATTTGAACGAAATTACGCATTGCATTCGTTTGGCGCAGGGCTTGCAATATCCACGTCTGGCGATACATTACGTGAATCTGGTTGCAGCGGAAAAACATGGCGTGCATGGAACTACAACAACTATGTTGAAATAAAAAACACGCACTTTAAAAACAACGTTGCTGCTCGCGGAGGAGCTCTATCGATGACAGAT